GCATTTTTTGTAGAAACGGGGTTTTACCATGTTGCCAAGGCTGCACCTCTGCTTTAGATAGTAGATATTCCTCCTGGAGACTTAGCTATCCTTGAGCAGTATTCCTAATTTCTGGGGCCCTCATAACTTTTCTCGTCTTCTGTGGATTAATTTGTATTTCAATGGGAAATACTTAATGGCTAGCATCTTAATCTAGACTCTGAATTTCTCATTTTTCTCAAATACTTTCAAGAGAGTGTGACTGAGTTTCTTCCCCTCTCATTCGGAGACTGTCTTTTCCAGCCCAGCAGAGCCATAGATGATGAAAGGGTTCTTATTTCCCCATTTTGCCTTGGCTCCTTCAGCTGTCCTTCTGGTTTTGGTGGGACCAGAGCTCTGGCAGTGTCCTACTGGTTGGTGGTTGGGTTTCTTTTCCCTGCCATGCTTTAAGGTAAGTGTTGGCAGTGCCAGGAAAGGATCCTAACTCTGAATTCTTCGAACCTGTCAGGTCCTGAGAAGTGCTTGGGTGTTGGCCTTGGGAAGACTTGCATCCAGATTCTCACTCCACCATTTACTAGTGGTATGACGTTGAGCGAATGACCTAAGCCATCTGTGTCTTCGTATGTAATGTGGCAGTACAATACCCACATGTTTTGGTTACTGTAAGGCTTAGAGAAAATCAAGTATTATGCTTGGAAAATACCTGGCATGAAATTGAGTGCTCAGTAAATGCTGATAATGGTGCCGTAATTGTCCTTATCCAAATACTTAGTGTAATAATGTCATAGTTTTGATATTGTGGTTCACCACAAAATGAACAAAGAATGGTGAGGATCAGGTTGTGTTATCTATGCTAACCCCATCTCCTGCAACTGCATTTATAAGCTTGCAATTAATTCTGTGCATGACTTTTGTAATGTTGCTTTCCTTTCCATGCTTCCATTTCCTCTGTAAAATAAGGACATGGAACTATATCAGAGTAGCAAATAGGTTTAATCTCTTATGTCAACTCCAGTTGATCAGTAGTGGGTACCTGGAAAGCAGATTAAAAAAAAAAATTCTGTGGCCTTGTCTGGGCTCAGCAGATAACTTTGTCATGATCTATTAGCAATGTCTGCAATGGATAGAAAGGCTGGTGGCAACTATTCTGAAATTCTCCAGACCTGGACTAAATGCTCTCTAAGACCCTTCTCAGATCCCCAGTCTTCTGATTCGTTATCAAGGTCTTCCTGATGGGCCTTTGTAGTTGGCTGACATCGTATCCTGTCCACCCAAATGAATATTCAGTGTCATTGGAGTAAAACGTAGATACGAGTAGTTCAGTTAAGAATCTGAAAGGGATTATATATCAGTAAAAATAAATAAAAATTTTTTTAAAAAGAATCTGAAATGGAAGTGGTTGATTAGGCAGCTGCTTCTCTGAATGGGGTAGGGGTTTCTTTGAGACTGCATTGCAATTTGAGTCTAAAAAATAAAGCATTTTAATCAAAAGAGCAAACAGGATGGTTCCCTAAAGTCATGCATGCAAATCATAGCCCAGCGATGCCATGTGGAGTTGGAATATCATTCTGTGTAGGTTTCTGTCAATAGCATTTAGCAATGGATACACGGATGGGTTTTCCCAAACTAGAAACAGTAATTTCCTGACCTGTAATAGAAAGCTATAGGTTTCTAACAGTTGTTGGATAATTATGTGAATGTATGCTACAGATAGATGATTTTAGAAATTGATTTAACCACTTCCTTTGATATTTAGGATCTAAGATAAAGGTATCTTGTTTCAGGGGTACTTGGTTAACTCAAGCAAGGAGATTCAATTTGCACGAACCTTCAGGAAGAAATCTGTGTGTGCATCACTTTTTAGTCTTGCTATCTTTGTAAGGAAAAATGAAACCCTTAGTAATCCACTGGCATTTTATAATCTTAAGCAAATGATTCTACCTGTAGGGTCAGGGATATTTGCCTTATTTGTAAAAGCTTTTCAGATATAGAGTTGATTCTAGGTCTTCTTTCTCCAAAATCTCTATGTCAGAGTACATTTTTCCTGCCCCCTTTTATTATGCCTCACTACAGACAGTGACAATATCCGTTTGTGAGTTTATGATCCCTGGCAAGGCAAAAATCACCCATCTGGAGTCATACTGTTCTACTAAATATGATGAAAGAACTATATTTTTAGTTTTCTCAGAAACAATCAACACTAAACGTGATTTTTGTCCATAGTGTGCCCTCAGCCAGGCTCTATGACAAAAGGACATTTTTATAAGGGAATCTATGAATATGACAGCAGCAATAAACAGCTGAAAATAATCTATGAGGCGTTTGCAAATTACCCCTCATGAGCTGTAGTGGTTGTGAAAGATAATTTGTGGTTCTCACAGAATACCCTGCAAATTGGGTCTTTCATCTGCAATGTTTTTCACAGTTAAAACATTTCATTTCTCATATTAACAAATGATAACTCTGCATTTGTTAATCTAAACAATTTGATTTATATTTTTTTCTGTGCTGAGAAGCTGTTGACATTTCAGGGTAAGTAATTATTTTCATTGCCAACTGCTGTTTGTGGTGACTGTAGGCAAAAGATAGAAATCTGAATATAAGTATGCATCATTTTAATCATTTTCCTTAAAGACTGCCCATAAAGCAGGAAGTCTGTTTGCCCGAGTTATCATCTGTACTTAGAAATCTAAAAGGATATGAGTGTTGACAAGCAAGGATTCTAGTCACGTTCAGGGTTTTCTGTGGTGGATCAGAAACTCCCTCATGTAATCTCTGTGGGTAGGGGGACTGGGTTGACCTCCACTGTCACCAAACCTCTGGCAGGGCCCAGTGCACCTGCAGATTGAAATCACTGCAGTAAAAGGAAGCATGCGTTATTGGCCTCAGTAGCTCTCAGCTAATGTAGTATCTGTTCGAGTGGCTCATGGGTGTCAGGATTACACAAGAATGCCTTGCACCATGCCTGGTACACGGTACACAGCGTGAGCTCTGGAAACATCTGGTGAAACTGGGATGATGTATAAAAACATATAAAATTCCTTTCTCACACTGCCTTCTTGGCCAACCATCCTCAGTCCAGAGCCATGGAAAGAAAGGTTTTTTTCACTTGGAAAGTAGTCACTACGTCCATAAAGAAGGATGTTGAGCCATGTCCACTGAGTGACCCATGGAGAGGTGCCAGGGCCTGGGACAGAGCTGATGGATTGGCAGGCTTTCCTTGGGGCCTTTCTTTGATCTACAATCTAAGGTATTTCAGTTTCTTTTGATATTCAGAAAAAAAAAATTACCATCAAAATTTAAACTTCATCCCCTAGAAAAATCATCTGGCAAAATTGCTGCTCCAGAAAGGTGGTCCATCTTTAGCCTTGGGTGTGTGGGGCCCACACTAGCTATGAAGCACCATGGCAGGTGTAGATTGTCTCTGTGGTTATTAGAGGTGCGTCAGTGTGAGACCTGCACAGTAGATGTGGTAGGTTCACCCGTTTCCCTGCATCTGTCTGATATGATAGATATGATAGATACATGTGAACCTTCCATTCACATTTCAGTGAGAGAATGGACTACTGATTTAGGATCCAAACCAATCATTACGTGGCCTTACGGAGTGAATGTAGAGCCAGTACCCTGAATGGCAAATGTGTTTTATCCTTTGAACCAACTCCAGTTGATTAGTTCTGGTTGCCTACAGTGCTGTCTTGTGAAGGCATCTGTGATGCTGAGCTAGGAAGAGTGCTGGGATTGATTAGCAATGTCTGTCATGGCCTCTGGATGAAAAACTGGCCCTATATTTGCCATTCTCTGCTTTTAACATGTCCATAACTCCTCTGTCCTCTCTTCTTGTGTAAAATGATTTTAATATTAACAGGTGACTGTGAGCATCATGAGAGAGAACAGGTAGATTCCACTTTAAGAAAACCTAGCATGAAAAAATGCAAATTTACAAAATGGATAAATCTGGAGCCAATTATTTCTATTACAGAAAGATTCCATGAAAGGTTCCTTTAAATAGCCAGCTCCCCTACTGCATTAAAATGATGATTCAATTTACAAAAATTCACTTTGCATGCAACTCTTCAAGACCATGTCTGTGGAGTAAAGAAAGCCACACCTGATTTTTTAAAACCATGGCCTAAATAACATTGAAGATAGCTGCCGCCACCTATCTTGAGTCTCTTGGTAATTCCCACTCTCTGCAGTCTTCCTTCTTACTCCTATCCCAGCGTGGGGAGTAGACGATCTGGGTGGTGGACAACAGCTGCTGGCTTCCACCCTGACACGGCTGCGTTTCATTAGTGGGTAAACTGATTGCTCTGAGTATGTTTATATGTGGGTGTGGTTGTACAACTCTGTGCACTCTGTGTGCTATGTATGCAGATACAGATACACAAAAGTCATTATCTCGCTCTCAGCCCAACCTAAATTCATTCCTGCTGTAAGAGTTCTAAATGGAAGGTTCCAATCCCTTGGTTGATATGGCCTTTTGGTAATATCTGCCCCAAATTCTGGCTCCCCATCCTCTTTGTGTTTGTTTATGTGTTATTTACCCTTGCATTAGAAAAATTCCTGAGACTCGGGGCCTGAGTCCTATTATCCGGACATGGAATCTTCCTCTTCCTCTGAGACCTACAAAGCCCCAAACGATTTTCTGATTTAGAAAATGAAATAGACTTTGACTCTTGGGGCAAGCTATGAAATTCCCAACCAACAGACACTCCCATTAAATACACAACATATACAACATCTGAAAGTATCACTGATCCAGCATGAACTTGAATTATAGAGGCATTCGGTGCTCCTCGGGTAAGATCACCAGCCTCTTCCCAGGCACTCAGAATCGGGCAGTTTTCCAGTGGACCATAAAGCTCCAGGAATGCTGACTGGCATGTGTGTTTGAATTTCGGTTGCTCTGTAAAAGGAACTTAATCCACAGAAGAGTACCTGGAAGAGATGGCATCTTCCCTTTCTCTGTGTGTTTTACCCCCACATAGAATCATCATCATAACTTCTCAGGCCCAGAGCACAAGTATCGTCTCTATTTTGCCTATGGTATTTTTTAAATCACAACATAAATTCCTCCCCAGAAATATTTTTTACAGACACATCTTTTTTTTTTTTTTTTTTCTTTTGGCAAAAGCAAAATGAGACTAACAGTAAACACATCAGCCCTACTCAGACACTATCTTCTGGCCTGCAATGACCAATCCTGTTTGAGACAAAAGCTCTCAGGCTGGTGAGCTGTCAAATCGCTCTTTTTCTTCCACCTTCCCAGGATCATTGGTTTGCACCAAGGGTCCCCCATGGTACTGGGCTGTGATTGCCGCATAGGTACAGCCATAGATGGCAGCTGCCAACATCATGAGACACACAATCCCACACACAACCCCAGTGATGATGACGGTGGCAATAGCATGACGCAGGTTGGCAGGCCTTGGCTTGGGTTTGAGCTCGCACTCCAAGAGGTCTCGCTCCCCCGAGTTGTGGTTCTCAGAAGGCCTCAGGACCACACCGTGGGTAGAGCCGGGCCGCTGAGGCTGCGAGGACTCTGGATCAGGAGCAGCAAGAGGGCAGGGCAGGTACAGCTCATGAGGAATCCTAAGGAGGTCCTTTCCCTTCCAGGTGTCTGGTGATCCACAGATGACACCGTCTGTTATTCCCCCTTTAAAAGACAAAAGCAAAGGACAATAACAGAGCCTTGATACAACAGAGTTCCAAAATCCTCTGCCTGCAAAAACTTAGGCAGATGGAATTTATGAAGTACCATTTTTTTTTAATCCTGGAGTCAAAGAATGTAACAACCATATTTTATGATTTTAAGATTCCTAAATTGGCTAAATACTAAAAATGCCACACACTAAATTGGCAATTACTTATGACCAAGAATTCATTAGAAGCCCAGTAACCTTCATGTTCTGCAAATGCTCAGAGAAAACAATGCAAAAGCGGACAAGAAGGCATGTTGGGGGCCAATGGTGAGCACGGCTGCCCACTGCATTCCTGCCACTCACGGCCCCAGTGAGCCCCACAGACAAGAAATCTTTCGTGTACCAGATTCCTGTTGGAAATCTAAGGAAAAAATAAAATAAATGTGCGTTGTTGTGCTGTTATGTGTTCATTACAAAGATCCTGTGTGTCTCAACACTGTTCAGTGATGCCAAATGGAGACATGGAGTGGTCTTGGAGTGATCTGTGGATTTGACAATACTGGAAATTTAGTTCCTGGAATTAGGTATCATGAATGTGTCTCCTCAGGCCTCAGAACATTTACGGCTTTGAGTACTGAACTTTCTAATGGGTTATTAAACCCAGTTTCCCTTCCCTGCAAGGTGATGGATATCCTCAGGTGTGTAGACTGCTGTTGGTCACGGGGAATTTGGGTGGTCAGTCATTCCTTCCTAGAAAGAGCACTGAGGTAGCAGACTGAAGTCTAGTCTAGTGTGACCACTGATTTTCTCTTTGGCTTTGGGAAAATGCACTTTGCTGACTAAATTTTCTGCCATGAAAGCATCCTATTTGTATCCAACTTGATGGTTTACAAAGCACTGTTAGATAAGTCCTAATACTCCACTCTTGTAGGTAACTCTTGTCCGGACTCACAGAATTCGTGAGTGGATGAAACAACATCCAAACCCAATTCTCCATCCTCCGTCCAAGTTTTTTCCACTGCACTCACTGCCTCGCCACTTCCTCCTCTCAGGAGCATTGTGAGGTCAGAGGAGTGGGCAGGATGGCCCTCGGCACTGTCTTCTAGGAAGCCTTTGAGTGGACAGAACTGCCACATGACCTGTGCCTTGGCCCTTTCAGGCTGCCATAAGCACCTCCCCTAGGCCAGCTGAGAAGATTGGCACTGCTGTTAGCAAAGTTAGATTGGAGGAGATTCTTAGTACACACAGTAAGTGAAATATGAAATTATACCAGAAAGACATATGCAGAGGGCATCACTTCAACATTATTAGCACCCTCCATTGCGTGGCACTTCAGAGTTCTAGGAATGCTTTCACATTTATTCTCTCTAAGCCTACAAGATAAGTCCTAAGTGGCCCTGTAAGTACATAGGGCCTATCTTGCAGTGCAAGGATTATCAGGTGGCCCCAACACACCAGGGTAAGCGGCAGTGGCAAAATTCAACCCATTTCCTTTTTGCTGCCACTGCTTAAAACTGAATCACCTACCACCAGAGTCTCTTGGATTCCTCCTGGCTTTTCTAGCAATCCTCTGAGGAAACAGTCCCCACCTTAAAGCAGAAAGATAAAAAGGGAATTTCTTCCTTTTTTGAGCCACTGATTTTCATGAGGCCAGAGGTTCAGAGCAGCTGCTCCAGATGAGTTCAAAGTGCCATTGAGATTAAGGATTCTTACCTCATGGACCATTTCATTCCTCTGCACCTGACCATAAGAGCCTCTTCCAGGAAGTTGGTTGCAAGACAAAAAGGTCAGAGAGACAGAAATGAAGTGATGGGGCATTGAGAAGTAGTCATGATATTTCATCCAGCCAGAGAGCATGGAGACTTCTACAAGGGGAAGCAAGGCCACCTGCCAGGGGGATGGACAGGTTCATCAGCTGACTTCCACCTTGACTAGGGTGGTTTACCCAATCACCCCAGACTTAAGAACTGCTTCTCTCCAGTTCCAGACTTTCTGCCATTCAGTATTAGGGTGGGAGCCACAGCCTCTGGACCCAGAGCCAAGGAAATACCCAGACTAGAGCCTGGGACATAGCTGGAAGGCAGGGGCTATGGCTGCCAAATGCTCTATGGTCTCCTGTGCAGGTGATCCTCAGCCAGGATGCAACTCCCACTCTCCACCATTTCATGGGCCGTGACCCCCTAGCCAAATCTGCTGATTATAGCCGGAGGGTCCCACATCCTTCTAGATTCATGTAACTGACAATGCAGGAAGCTCCAGCTTGCCAAGTGCTCATTGTTCTCTATCTGATCCCTAGTAGCTCTTCACCTCTGTCTTGGGAGAAACTAGATTCAAATCTTGAGTCTGAACATTACTTAGCTGTGCAGCCCTGAAAAACTTCCTTGACCACATTGTGCCTCTGCTTGCTCATCTGGAGAGTGGGAGACGAGGATAATTAAAATTCACTTCCCAAGATTGCTCTGAGGACTCAGTTGGATAAAATATGTCAAGTATTTAGCATAATACCTAGCTCAGAGTAAATGTTTAATGAAGTGAAGATGACTTGTTTACTAGTAAATAGAGAGGAATAGTAATCATACAATCTGTGTGCATATTTCTGTGGAAGAGATATTATTATGTATTCACCAAAGCACATCTTTTTGCTCTTAGGCCAGCAGAAAGACTAAATTTTCCCACTTTTTGTGGTCCATTTGGGGCCATGTGATTGAATTCTGGACAATGGAACCAATTAATGCCACCTCCAGGCCATAAAACCCCAGTGTAATCCGCCATGCATTTTGTTGCCACTTGGGGATGACCTTAGAGGCCACGTGATAAAGTTGGTGACATCACAAGCTGGAGGGGGCTTATGTCCCTAAATGGCTGCATGGAATGCAGACCCTGCCCCCATTTCCCTTGAACTATGACATGAATGAGCAACAGATTTTATTGCACATATAACTAAAGTCTGGGCTAGTCTGTTATGTCAATTAGCCTGCCCTTTCTAATACCTGTAGTGTTTGCATTTGTTTATATATCTTTTTTAAAAAGAAGACCTTGACTAATATCTGTTCCCTTATTTTGCCTGTATTCAATATATCTATAATCCGACTGCCTCCCGTGTTTGGCACGTATTTGGATTTTTCCTAGTTATGTTGGGACATCCAGGTCTTATTACCCCAAATCAATTTTTGCCTCTCTCCGAAGAAAAGCTGTGATCTGTGCTCATGCAGCTCTGTTGGGAGGGAGTGTTGAACTGCATCACAGAATCTGAGGACCGGAGTGGGCCGTAGGAACTCCCTGGCTTAAAACTATCAGTTTCCCTCTGGTGACACTGAGTGCTAGTGAAGTTGTCCTGATTTTCCCAAAGACCACCAGCAAGTTTGTGGCAGAGTAGGGCAGAATGCATCCCATCCCAGGTTGCTTCCAGTGCCCTAGTCCTGGGAACTGTTTTTTTTTAAATCAAGAGATGTTCTTTTATGAAAACTGTCTTTCTGTATTGGGCTGGCCTGTGCTTACGATTTGATCCAGAATACAATAGTTCAAGCCACTTTACCTGTAGATGTAAACAATTTATTTGCAACCTCTAATAAGAAAGATGTTGCCATAGTATGTGGCTGCTGTTGCTGGTTGGCTTGAATGCCGACTGGTTATTGATTATGTAGTTTGCTGTTACATTGTTGAGAAGGATTTATTCAATATCATAAGTTTGAACCCATGTTGTATTCACCCTAACCTCATTCCTGCTGAGAACCGCTGCAACCATGCAGACACTGTTGATTCCCTAATTCATGTCTGTAGCTCCAACATCTTCCTGAGCTTCAGGCTTAAATATACAACCTCCAACTCAACCATTCCCCATGGATCTGTACAGGACATCTCAAACTTGACATGCCCCAAGCTGAAGTCCTAGTTGACCACCTCCCCAACACACTCACTCGCTCCCCCCAGTCTCCTCTTTGCCCCTTGTCAGCTGAAGGCATCACCATTTACCTGGTTATCACTGCAGGACAAATCAAAATAGACGTTCCCATAATTATGGTCTTCTCTTAATCACCCACTCCAACCCATTAGCAATGTCTGTCAGTTCAGTATTCCAAGTATCTCCCAGCATTGATCAGGTCTCGCCACCCTGGTTTGGGCCACCATCATCTTCGCTGGCTGACTGAAATCACCTTCTCCCTCATCTCCCTGGTTCTTCTTCTGCAGCCTTTGGTCAGTTCCCCCAAGAGTCTACAGAGTGACCTTTTACATTGTAATCAGATCATATTGTTCCCTTGACTAAAACTGAAGAGTTTTCCATCTCACTTAAAGTCCAGGCATCTTGGACTTCTCTGCACACTTCTGCATGATCTGGCCCCCAAGTACTGGTGTTGTCTTGTCTGTGTCCACTCACTCCCTTCCTCTGCACTAGCCACTGTCTTGTCTCTCTTTTTGTCCTGCAGCCAAGCCAAGTTTTCCCCCTCATCAAGCCCTTTGTGCTCACTATTCCTTCCCCCAATTATCTCATGGCTCATTCCTCCGCAGTCTTTGGGCTCTGCTCAGCCATGTCACCTCCTTGGAGACATCTTCCCATCCATCCTATCAAAAATGAGACCCCCATTCTATCACTCTCCCCTTCCCCTGCCTCATTGTTTCTTAGCACTAATTACTATTCTAAACATGTATCTTTATTTATCATCTTATTTAACATCTGTTTCTACTACCAGAATGAAATCTCTATGAGGTTAGGTACTGCCATCTTTTCAGTGGCTGACATACAAAAGGCACTCAAATATAGGAATGAATGAATCATGCTGAGAGCTAGAAGGAGAGAAGCACTGTGAAGTGGAGGAAAGAATGTCGGGTCAAGACCCAAAGGCCATGCATTCTGTTCTCACCTGGGCTTCTGCTCTGTGATCTTGGGCAGGTCACTGAACCTCTCTGGGACTCTGTTGCCTATTGACAACGAGGGTTGGCAAACTTTTCTGTAAAGAGCCAGATAGACAACACAGCCCCTGTCACAACTACTCTGCTTTTATAGTGCAAAGCAACCGCTCATTCAGTATATAATGAATGGGCATGGCTGTGTTCCAATAAAACTTTATTTACAGAAACAGGAGATGGACTGTGGCCCTGGGGCTGTAGTTTGCTAACCCTGGGTGGTTTCCAGAGCCCCTCATCTTTAATAGTCTGAGATCTCTTGCTTTGCTCTTGTCATCGAGTTAAAGAAATTGTGAGTAACTTTAGAGAGAGGCCCTGTTGCACCCAATTTCAGTGACAGTGGTGTTTGCTAAAGCAGAAAGGATAATTTTAGAGAATTACAGTTGTCAAATGGGTAGAAGCAGACAAAGAGAGAAAAATATCCCAGAGAGAGATAACCATACCCATAATTGGAACACACTTGAAAATAAGAGTTTCGTGCTATTTGGGGTTGAGCAGTTATTCAGGTGGTGATTGAATGTCCTCCTTCTTAACAGCATACTCCCAGATAAGTAACTTCATGTTGTATTAATTAAACAAGTGAAAGTTATCTCCATGTAACATATTTGTAGATTAATTTAGATCCTGAATTTAAACACCTTCTAATGACTCACTTGACTCTTTTGCCATACCGTGAAATGGCACCGATGTGTAAAAGCTCAAATCCATCCCTTACACACTCCTCCACATTCTTTCTAATGCAGAGAACAGATGAGATTCATCCTAGACTGGTAACACACAGATGGGGGGGTTCCAAATAGACATGACTCACCTTTATAGATAAATTTCTCCAACCAGAGTTTAAGGCCAAGCAAGTGGCAATTGCATTTCCAGAGGTTGTCCTTGAGAAATAAAAGCCTCACACTGGGCATGGATTCTAGGAGCGCTCGATCAAGCTGCTGAAGCTGGTTTTGTTGAACCGCAAGTATAGTTAGGTTCTCCAAAGTCTCTCCCAGGGATGTGGGAAGGTGGCTTATGTTGTTTGATGACAAATCAAGCTCCCTCAGCTGAGGGAGGGAATGGAAAAGTCTGCTTTCCAGGGAAAGGAGTGAATTCTGGGTTAGGTTTAAAACCTGCAAGTGCTGAAGCCCATGGAAAGCTCCAGGGGCCAGATCTGAAAGGGAATTGTTGGACAAGTTTAAGGCCGTGAGCCATGGCACTGACGTAAATGCAAAAGCAGGAAGATGGTGTATCTGATTATCTTGTAAATGCAGTGTTCGAGTCTGAGGAGGTAAATGGGAAGGAATTTCAGCCAGACCCTGCTGGCTGCAGTCTACAAAATTTGTAGATGAGTGACATCGGCACTTGTCTGGGCAGCCATATACCACCTGGAGCAGGACAATCACACTGGAAAACAGGAGCAGTTCACCTACAACAAACAGAAAGAAATTGGGATAGGAACCAGTTTGGGAGGTGTGGTATCAGCACTTTTTCCCCTTTGAATTTACAGGTAATGTGCTTTCCAGCCAGGTAAAACCTTCTACAATCTGGAAGAGAGGTTCTGTCACTCATCATCTTTAGTAGAGCCGGGCTGGACAGAGTACATCCCCAGTGTCAGTAACTACTACAATCTTTGTGCCAACTATTGTTGGAAGCCTTGAGAAAAGTACTCAGTGTCTTCTGATTCAGAAGATGGAAGACTTAGTGATATCAAATAGAAGAGTGAAAAAAATATTTGGGGGATATATGCCCTTTGTAGGCCACAGCAGAATTATGTGGGGCCAGATGTGTAAAAGAGTGATAGAGGATTTCAGATATCCTCATTTCTGTAAAGGATGCAGCAGAACAGTGCTGTCTAATACAACGTTCTGTGATGATAGAAGTGTCCTGCATCTGCTGTCCAGTATGGGAGCCAATAGCCATGTGTCGCTATCGAGCTCTTGAGATGGCACTACTGCAACCAAGGGACTGAATTTTTATTTGCATTTCATTTTAACTATTTTAAACAAAAATAGCCACATGTGGCTAATGGTTACTGTATTGGGTAAGGCAGATCTAAAACACTGCTACATATTGATATCCATTTTTGCCGTTGTAATTCCATGAACAAGGATAGTGTCTGCTGCTTTTTTATTCAAGATTATAACAATATAGAAAAGCATTAAGAATAATATAATGAATACCCCTTTTCTATAACAGTTCTGCAAGTCATTCATGGGTTATCATACTTCCTTGATTCTTTTTCCTTTTAACTCAAAAGAGCAATGCATGACTTACGCAGTTGAACTTACTTTGATTCATGCCTAATTTCTATTTTCCAGCATAAGCCCCTTTCCTCACACCATTACTGATGTATCTCTCCAGACAGTTTAAAAACAATCGTTAGTAATGACAAAAATAGCAAATAACCATATAGCATACAACTACCATTCTAAGTGCTTTATAAATATGTATATTAATTAATCCTCATAACCTTGTAAATATGGTTCCATTATTACCCCCTTTTGAAAGATGAGGAAGCTAGGCACAGAAAAGCTGAATCACTTGCCCAAGTTCACATGGAGAATAAGTATTATAGCAGAGCTGTGATAAGGGCCAGGGCTGTCTTCCTCCCTCCAGAGTCTGTCAGAGTTCTTATCTGCTGTGCTCTGCTGCCTGTCAAATACACACACACACACACGCACACACACACACAAACACACACACTGTTTTGCATAACACTTTTTAAAAATCCAAATAAATGTAATCATCAACATGTCTCAGTCTGCAATTTGCTCTGTTCACTCAAAACTGATCTATCCACATTGATACGTGGAAAGCTAATTCATTCATTTCAACTGCTGTAGCATATTCCATGGTGAGACCATGCCACATTTAGTATTAATATTTACCCCCACTCTTATGAGGGGTAGTTGAGCTGTTGCAGTTTTTTTCTTCATTCTAAATGATGCTGTAAAATAGCATCCTTGTTCAGACTGCCTTGGCTGTGCAGGAACTGGGAGAGGGTCTCTGGAATCCAAAGAAGTCTTCTTACAGGGCTCAGAGAGGAGGTTAAGTTCACATTTTCTTAGATACTGCTCTGTCATTCACCAAAGTAGCTATAACACTCCCTTCTGGTTTTTTTCCTGAGACTTGAATTTCAAAATATGGGAAACATCTGTCAAGGGCATTTTATTATAAAGCGGTAGAGGAATTCGTTAGGCCACACAATAATATTCAAAACTCAAAATAGTTATCTACTCATAGTTGAAGCTCTTGAAAGGGGCTTTGTTTGCTCGCTTGCTTGCTTGCTTTGGGCCTCAACTAGGGAAACACAGTGTGGCTGTCATGCACTTGAGCCTTTTCCCCTTTCTTCCTTAAATTCTCTAGTGAGGCTAACAGTGCTCTAGGGCAATAGGGAAGATGTTTAGAGAGCCTTCTGAAAGAGATTCTTCTCAGTTTAATTTAGTTCAAGGGATGCAGAACATCACAGTCCCCTTCCCCTTTCCAGAATATCAAAGAGCAAAACCACTGTTTTCCTTTCTATAATTTTGCAAATAATCTAAATGACTCCTTTCAAAGCCAAAACGTCTTCCCCTCAGTAATGAACGGACACCCCTCACTTTTAGCTGCGGGGCTCAGGTATTAATTAGTTGCAGGAAATTAATTCTTAAACCAGAGAATATGTTTGCAGCAGAATCCACTAATCTATTAATGAAAGGCTTGCCTCTCTGAGATTGTAGCCAATTTGTTCATTCTTTCTTTGGTTCCACGCTTCCCCTCAAAGGAATAATATATGAACTCCAACTCCAAGCACCATGTTTTCTATGAAATGGCCCGTGACATGCCAACTGCATATTCATGTCATGGCTGCATACATTTCTTTCCACCCTCTTCCTCTGCACCCAACATGCACAAACATAAATCCTCCCATGCAGAGACATTTTTCATATCTGTCCAGTCTTTTAAGACAGACGACTTGAAAATAGATTTCCCATAGATACCTTTGTGAGGGGATCCCGTCTTTCTCCCAGACAAGAACTTTTCCAATGGGAATTGATCAGGGCTCACCTTTCATGACTGAGTCTTCTCGGGCGTCCTTGCTGACCTCGTAGACCCCTTAATTAATGTGCAGAGCAACACACGAAGGGCATGGCAGACTGGGAGCCCAGCTTTACATTCAGTCTTTCTGAACCCTGCCCTTGCTTTCCTTCAATGCAGAAAACAGTTGTTGCTTTCAAAAGCCCACTTATTTAAGCAGCCCTTCCCCTTGTCTCCATCTGGCTGGGATCAGTTTCCATAAGAGGATCTTGGGATCATGCCCCTCTTCTTTCTTAAAATGTTGGCCTCCCCAGGATCATCCCTGCCTTTCCCATTCAGATGATGAGCCGCATAAAGAATGTTTGTCAAACCTTGGTGAACAGCTGTAGCATTCAAACATGACCCCAATGGCTCGGCCTTTTTGATTATTTAATCTGCTTGAAGTACAGGGCACCAAAATAAAACTGCCTTCTTAATCCGGCCGTGGCTTCTGAATTCTGTTGACTTATTAACCATGCTGGGTCACCCCTCACTGGGTTGGGGGATGCCGGACGGGACCCTCGACCTGGGGGTCAAGGAGCAGAGCCCGCAGAGTGTGTAATATGAGGACAAATTGGCCTGCTGGAGGCTGACACGGTTTGCACAGTGCACTTCTTTGGTCATCGAAGGCTTATTCAGCCAACATCTGTGGGGATTAGCTGTGTTGACAGGGTCTTGATGCCCTGAAATTCATAGCCATGGTTTCCTTTAGTGGACATCACAACCTTCCTTCTGGTGCCACAAATACTTCTCAGCTGCTGCCTTGCTTGTTCGCTGCCCCCACACCCCGCCCATTCCCCAGCCCCCCAGTCGAATTGACCTTTTGGTTAGTGTGACTTTAGAAATACTTCTTAATCTTTCTTCGTTTCCCTGATGCTGAGGTCCTGGCCCTGCCCTCATTTTTCACATATAAAACCATAAAGCCGCCCCTGTGAGCATCAGGCGTCGGTCAACTGTGACTGTTCTCTAATTGAAGCTGCAGGGAACTTTCCCACCAGGGACTGGAACCGTTTCTTTGAATGTGCAAATCCCCTGCCATTTGCTGAGGTGGGGTTTCAATGCCTGAAGCTGCTCTTCTAGATAAAACAAAATGTTCTAACTGTGTGTCACTGTGTGTACGCTTTTATGGAGGCAGCATGAAGTGCAATCCCGGGCTCCAGGAAGTATAATTGAGCCATTGGGTTTGGGCTCTGGAATCAGATGGGTCCAGAGTCAGTATTTGGCTCCACCATCACCAGCTTCTGTCTCCAGGCAAGTGACTTGCCCACCCAGAGCCCCATCTCTGACATGGGGACAATAATAGCCCTCACTTTACCAGGCCATGCCCAGGATTAAATACGGCAGTACCCATCGTGGCCCAGAGTGTCTTCCTAAGTGTTCACAATTTCCCATGAGAAAGGCTTCCAGGACTTTCATGCTGCTAGCATCTGAGGACAACCTGGACTGGTCAGCAGGAGGGATGTCCTGAGGGAGGTCCTGACAGAGGGCCATGGAACCTGGACCCTCATGCCACTCTGCAGGTACAGAGGGAAGAGGCCTGTTGTGAATGGAAGTTGAAAAAAATCAAATTTTGATGATTTTCAATAGCCTGTACTTTGTGGACTCTTTCATCATTTGGCCAAGCCCCTTCTCACCCCATAGAATCCAGTATATTCATTCTGCCTCTTCCGGAAAGCCCACATTACCCAACCTGCCATCTTTGTCCTTCTTTCCAGCATGTTTTTGAGCATCGCAGATACAAAGGGGAAATGTCAGGTGTAGGTGACAAAGCAAGTCAGGTGATGAAGAGCCACTTAAATCTTAAGAACTCAATGATTTCTTCCCTCCTTCTTTCCAGTCCCTCCTTCCTATCTGTTTCAAGTGCACAGCATTTAATGATGATAATTTCCATTATTAATGGAAACACATAACCATTAATGGCCCCCATTAGCATTCAATCATTAATTCATCATAACACAACAAACACTTGTGAACTTAACGCTCCCTCTAAGAACTAGAAAGTTAATAATAACTCATATCTACCTGTGTGCCTCTCTCTTTCCCTGGGATCAGAAACATTTTTTTGTGAAGGTCAGATAGTAAATATTTTAGACCTTAAGGGCCATCAGTCTCCATTGCAATTATTGGACTCTGCTGTTATAGTTTGGAAACAGCCAAAGACAATACATAAATCAATGGGTGTGCCTGCATTCCAATAAAACTTTATTTACAAAAACAGGTAGAGGCATAGATCGGCCCACAGGCTGTGATCTGCAAACTCTGGTTATGCCATCCTCTAGCCACTGCTCTCACTAGTCCACCACCCCACCTGTCACCCACCCCCAACTCCCACCACCCAGGCAAACTTACCCACTCTCCTGTGGCCTCATCTATCAAATGAGGGAATCGGGTAAGATGATCTTTAAGGCCTTCTTATGTTCAGAACCTTGTCATTCTGGTCAAAAAGTATAAATGGGATTGAAAGGCACTGTACTTACCAACTTTAAGGGGGCTTGGACAGGGAATTTAAATACCTCTTTAGGTTATAGTGGAGATATTTAGCTGTGTCTATAAGGCCCAACTGGGATCCAGATATCTTAGACTTGGGGGCCTGAAAAAGATGAATCTATTGACAGCATAAGTGGATGTTGGAGGTCAAGACCCTGGCAGAGAACCAAAGGCAGTCAAGGACACTTCTGGTTAAAAGCTAAATGAAGAAGCACATTTTCATGCTGTTTATTCTCTAAAGTTGTGTGGTCCTGGGAAAATCCCAGGCTCTCTGAGCATCAGCATTCTATCTGTAGAATGTAGATAATACCTACCTCACCGGAGGCAGGGAGGATCAAGTGATACTTAAGTGCCTAGCACATATCTGGTAGAGCAAGAGATCCAAAGTGGCATCTTGGCCAGGCATGATGGCTCACGCCTATAATCCCAATACTTTGGGAGGCTGAGGCGGGCGGATAAATTGAGGACAGGAGTTTGAGACCAGCCTGGCCAACAAGGTGAAACCCCATCTCTACTAAAATACAAAAATTAGCTGGACATTATGGTGGCCTTCTGTAATCTCAGCTACTCAGGAGGCTGAGGCAGGAGAATCGCTTGAACCCAGGAGGCAGAGGTTGCAGTGAGCCAAGATCATGCCACTGCACTCCAGCCTGGATGACAGAGTGAGACTCCTTCTCAAAACAAAACAAAAAACAAAGTGGCATCTCCTATTAGCAGCATGGATTTATAGACCTCAAAGAGTCTGAGCTGGCTGCTCCCACCTAAAACACAAATGTCCAGGAAACTCGTAGAGAAGCCCCGGAGTTGATGGGTTCCTGGCAACATCTGCTTACTGCCCAGGAGTTTTTTTTTGGTTCTGGTTTACTCATGCTGACCCCAATTGGGGGTTAAAAGATGGACAATGCACACATGGCCTGCAGTGCCCCCCGGACACTTGGATGTGGAGGCTGATTGATTTATTCCGTCTGACCTCAGCCAAGAGAACAAAGGGAGGGTGTGTGATATGCATGCTAATACTGGGCAGCGCCTTCTGTCTCTCCCTCCCTCCCTCCCTCCCATGGTGAGCAAATCCAAGAGATGGCAAGACAGCCATGCTTGCAAAAAGAGGAACCAAGGAGAGATGCTGAATGTCAGCTCAGGCCAGAGCCACTCCCTAAAGAGGAGAACTGTACTATGAGGGGCTCCTGGCCCCAAAACCTACCAGAACCCCAGTTTCCCACATGGGAGCTAGCTGCAAATGCACCCTTAGAGTAAAACTGTGTTTATAATCACACTGAGATTTCAAGAATTTCCAAGCTTCTGAGACATATTCTTTTGCCCTTTTTAAGCCAGATTGTTTTCTAATATGTTAGTCTACTTACCATTTAATTTCCCTGAAATGAAAAATCAATGATTATTAACCCTGAAATAAAATTGACAGTGTCTTGAAATCCAGCATGTAATAGCTCTTTCTCCCAGGCAACCTTATACAGGTATTTAAAGAATAAAGGCCAGGCTTAGTGGTTCACGCTTGCAATCCTAGCGCTTTGGGAGGCTAAGGTGGGTGGATCACCTGAGTCCAGGAGTTCAAAGCCAACCCGAGTAACATGGTGAAACTCCATCTCTACCAAAAATACAAAAAATTAGCCGGGCGTAGTGGTGAGCACCTATAGGCTGAGCTACTTGGGAGGCTGAGGTAGGGGGATCACCTGAGTCCAGGAGGTGAAAACTGCAGTGAGCCGAGATCACACCAGTACACTCTAGCCTGGGCAACAGAGTGAGACCCTGTCTCAAAAAATAATAATAATAAACAAATAAAAAGAACAATTAGAACTAAATATACCCATCTGGGAGAATATTCATAATAAAATGTGAGGCAAAATAAAGCAATTTGAATAGGAAGCCTATTGTATAATCCCATTTATATTCAAAAAAGTGTTAGAGATGGAGGAATTAACCCTATAAATATGCATTGGTTTGTCTGACAATGGAATAAGTGGGAAAGGTCACTCACCAAACTGGTAATGCTGATTACTTGGAGGGGAGACTAAAGAAAAAGAGGGAAAATAAACATTTTCTGCCTATACTTCTGTATATTCAACTCGCTACAACAAAAATTATGTCTAAGAAGCAAGTAAAGGCACATTTCCTTTACTGGAATATTTGAGATGTCTTATCTTCCAGTGACTAGCTGAATTATCTGTATAAATATAGCATGCTTAGAGTTTGCCTCCTCTCTCATCAAAAGGATTAGCCCCAGAAGTAACATCTGTCTTTCTCTGCCAAGGGTCTCAATGTGTGATGAGCCCTTATAACAAATATGAGCATTTCTCCCAGTTGTAAGGTCTGCCTTGGTAAAGTCATGGCCAAGTGCTCCTCCATCCCTGTCAACAGGCTCCCCATCCAAACCATGTGGTATGGTGATCTAATGCCAGGGAAGGCAGCCAGGCCTAGTGACAGCTGCAGCCAGGAATAGTGGGGAGGAGGCCCTTGGCACCACAAATCCATGCAGAAATTTCATTTGGTTAGGAAGAAAGTTTGACATTGGAGGCACGTAGATAATAGTGAAAATAGTGTCCTAGGAATTGTGGATGACCAAATGGCACCCAGGTACACAGTTTATACAGAGCTATTTTAAAGTTTTATTATTGTCTTCTGTCCCTCCCATCCTCCCTACCTCCCTCCCTCCCTCCCTCCCTTCTTCCTGGACCTCTGCCTTTGGATTTACTATCCTATAAGACATATACAAATAAGAAACATAGAAAACTAGGAATATATTTTAAAATGACAATCCTATCAATCACGTATTTAGTGCTTACAATGGGGCACATATTGCTAATAATTTGTATTAAAATTATGCTATTTTAACAAATAACACCGAAATCTCAGTGGTTTAACAGAATAGCTCATTTATTTCTCTTATCACAGTCTAGTTCAAGTTGACAGGGACCT